TTACCAACAGAGCTCATTAACATAAACAGCTCTTCTGAACGGAAGTCAGAGCAGGCAGAACTAGAAAATGGGAAATTTTACTATACGAGAATTATTTTATGCATTAAATTGAATGAACATGGTCTGGATAGCCCACAGACATACCATAAAAATTTCCAGGACCCATAATTGGTCTCCTTTAAATGAGTTTTGTTGTTTACTTGGAGTCTCTAGGAGTGCAGAAAAGGTTTATTTAGTTTCTCCCGATGCTGCAAAGATATCTTTATATTCTGTTTGGAATATATATTTCTTAACCTGTTCAGTTTTCTCTATTTTCTGTGAACTTTTCTGAACCATTATGTTAAATTATTTGCAACAGAACAGACATATCAGGTATATATCTTATATACCTGATATATATCTTTGTTCTCCTCTGGCTCTGGGTCAGATTCTGACTCCAACATGTAGGGCTGGATGGACAAGTCTTCCCTTGTTGACATCTTTTAATTAATTTGTAAATAAAACGTTTTCTGCACTGCTATACAGTCGTAAACCCCTCTATCAAACTAGAATTACTCGTTCTGGAAGCTGGAGTGGGCGGGCTGTGAAGCACCTCACATGGATTTAAAAAGACAGCCTCAAAATGAGTTGATCTGAGACACACCTCAAAAAAAGGGGTGGAAGAGGGACCTGTGGAGTTACAATAAGGAGAAATTCAGACCAAAGCACTGCAGTTCCACTTTGTATAGACCCCACTTCAATGATTTAAATGTGAAAAATAAGGATTTAAAAGCATGATATGTCCCCTTTAATAGTCACTCTGAGCCTTTTTCAGACAGACAGTATGTTCTGACAGTTCTAAGTTGGGGAGGGGCGAGGTGCGGGTAGAAAACTGAAATTAAAAGCAAAGCGAAAAGGAGGGCGTGATGGTGAGACAGAGGGGACCCAGATGGCGGGGAGGGAAGGCAGAACACATGAACGGGGACAGCAGGACGGGTGGAAGTTGGTGCGCTGGATGTCTTCCCCCCTCTTCCATCAGCAGAAGCCTGGTGGTGGAAGAAAAGCAATTATGAGAGCAGCCACACACACACACACAAACACACACACAAGGAGAAATCACTTCTCCAGCCACTTAGTCGCCCACCCTTCAACAGTAAATCCACATAAACACAATTGTGCACAATCCAGTCCACAAAAAAAAAAAGGCAGGCGTCATCACTCTCACCCTCGCACTCGAAGGCCTGCAGCATGGTGGTGTAAGTGGGGCCCAGCCAGGAGGTGTAACTACCCAGAACTCTCTGCAGGTGGTGGGTGGCATCGCTGAAGAGCAGATCGGATTGGCCGTAGCCTGCTGAGCTGAACATGCTGAAGCCCTCGGTGGCGTTGCCAAACACATTCTGCAGCAGAGAGACGGCGTGTGACGGCACTCAATGCATGAATGAGCGCGCATTGGCGTGCTCTGCGTACATGTGCGTCTGAGACTGGGTGCTTGTGCGGATTGTGAAAGTCAGCACTGGACGTATCGGTCCCTCACACAGTTTAAAGAGATCCATGATTAGTTATTTCATTTGATTTGTTTGATAAACGTATATTTTAACTGTAAAATAAACACTGTAAATATACTGTAGGCTGTTCAGTTTTAATCATTTTTAAACTAAAAGTTTAAAAATATATTACATGGTTGGGGCCATTTTATTTACACACAAAGCATTCTGGGTAAATGATGACGTGGATAGGTCCTCGGTGCGAGGCTGCTAGCGAGCTATATCCACCCTGA